TACAACGGCATTCCTACAGTAGTGTAGAAGCAAAGTTTAGTTCGATTGTTTCTGTTTTTGTTCATTTTACCATGTTATGTTTTGTGATTGAAATTTCTGTCACACGATGACTGCCATTACATTTGCTCCAAGTCATAATAGAATTGGACCCAATATCATTACATATTATATTGGCGATCCATTGGAGTCTTTATCCCTAATTAATCCATTTCAAGGCCACCTCTTACAACACGTGGATTACATGCTGCAGCCATATATATTGGCGCATGTAGCTCCCCAACCTTGTTCAACTGTTTTAGTATGTTGAACTTGGTTAGCCACAAAGGTGATACTTTCAGATCACCGGTCAACGGAGTGTAAAAGACAAAAAAGATAAAAAAAATGAACTGTCTTGTTTAGATATCCCTGTTTTTAGGTAAAATAGTGTTATAAATAAATAAAAAGTTACACATGATTCTTATCAAGTAAGATATCAGTTGCAACGCATTAGTGAGATGATCTTCTTTTCTCAAATCAAAATATCAAATGCTATAGTAGGATTTAGCATGTGAAGATGAACTGTCTTGTTCAAATCTCCATGTTTAAGGATAAAAGGTACCATAACCGTCAATTTTGTGATTAATGCTTTTTTTTTAATTACGCTTAATGGGACGTACTCGGTCACTATTTTGCTAATGCGAAAGGCAAGTTTCACGACCATTTATTGGTGCATTATACGTTTTGCTAATGCGGAGGACAAGTTTCACGACCATTTATTGGTGTTTGAGATTGCATTATACGTTTCTAATGCGGATGGTTCAATGAACATTTCGTGTTCATTTTAGCAACAATAAATCAATATTTTTAAGAAGTGTATTACTAGCTTTTTTCGTACAGTTATTTTGTTAGAACACGCTCATGATCTTTTTTTCTTTTTTTTATTTTAATATTATTAATTCATACCTTACTAGTTACTTGATAAACTATGAAGTTCACGTGTATATATATATATATATATGTATGTAATGTGCAGAAAAAGAAAGAAGAATAGATTGGCTAAACAATGGTTCATGTGAGTCCTGAAAGGAAGGTCTTTAAAGATGAAAGATTAATTATTGATAACCATGCCATGGCCTTTATGTTTACATATTACAGGTACATTGAGACAATGCAAAACACAACCAACATTGTACAACTACAATGAATGCGTAAAATAGTCTTTGTTATTTAATGAGTGCTTGGAATTGTTTGGCCAATGCATGCAAAGAGATTTTATGATTCAAATGCTAACAGCTGTTCGTACGTCTTTCTCAACTCATCAAATCTTTAATTTCATCTAACAACTGCCTCAAGGACACGCTATAAAGTTTTCTGGTTGTTAAGTAAGAAATATTCGAGCTATATATAAAACCAGTAAGGACCACGTTATTAAATATATTCATATAGTTTAAGGGGCAATTAATCAATTGTGTTTTGATATTCGAAGTTTACACTTTATTATACATTTTTTTTGTTAAAAAGTTATATCATTTTTATCTTTCTATTTATAGGAAAAATTAGCTAAAAATTATGAATAGCTTCTTAAACAAAGATTACCATATATCACCAAACAAGTGAATTAGTTGGTATAAATACCAAATATATAATCACTACTTTCAATAAAAGATTTGTGAGGGAAATTACTTTTCTGAACGAAAAAAAAAATGTGTTTGATATAATAGGATGGTGTGTTGATCACTGGATTAGGGAGAGTTAGTTTCTTTTACTTATGTGTGGTATTGTCCTCCTATTGGCTTTTAACACACTTGGCTTGCTCTTCCTTCCTTATGTGTCTACCTTATTCACGAGTGCTTCATTCTTGTCCAAATATGCATCTTCTTCTGTCTTATAAAATTCACGCTCTCATGCATATATAATTGATTATGGATCCACTATATGCCAAGTTTTTACTCTTAGTGTTAAAATGAGTCAATATTATCATTTACTCTTGATAGTTTGAAATTACATCATTTTAAATTACTTAAGCAAGAATCAAGACTACGAAGTTATAAACACTTTTCCTTTTCACAAACGCAAAGCAATATTTACACACCCAGAACCAACCCTGTGCTTGTGTTTTCATGATAATAATTTAGAACCTTAATAGCTATTAAATTAAAGGAAAAAAAGTTAAATTATTTTTTGTGTAAATTAGGATCAACTATGCAATTGGCCAACGTTCGTCAACTTGAATAGAAAGTCATGCTCTCATCACTTTGTCCACAAAAGAAACGAGAAATAAGGAACGAGGAAATTGATCGAGTTATATGCAGGCAGTTTAAATTGAATAATACACAAATTGGACTACAAGATTACAAGAGTTAAGCAATCAAAAAACATCAATCACAACTTCAAAACCAATTCCATTAAAAATAATAAAGAAACTCTATAGAGGTGGGCATTTTATATCCTGCTTGAAGCATCTAAACGTTAAAACTTGTGATAAAGTTGGCTCACCAAGATAATAGTAAGAAGTCTTCCTCACGTGCTATGTCTTCAAATAGAAATATGAAACAAAGATTAAATTTGGCATAACAATCATTACTCTATCTATGTTTAATAATTTGGCCATTCCAAATTGCCCGTGGCAGCAATTAATTGCTGATAAACCTGCACAAACACAAGATAAATTAGGAACAACAAAATAAAAAATGCGGACACAATTTAAAGTTTAAACATCCATTTTTTTTGGTGAATTCTTTTTCTTTTTCATTACCTTTTCTTTTGTAATATTTGTATTCCTTTTAACCTGGGGAAAAAAAAGGAAAAAGGGCTGGCTTTGAATTATTTATTTATTTATTTATTGTTTCAATGTATCAATCCATGAATAATTTGAGAGTCCATTGTTTCTCTCAAGTTTTTCTGCTATGTGCGCAAGTATAAAAAATCGAAGAACTTGTCACTGATCGGTAAAAATCCGACTGGCGCAAGTATAAAAAATCGAAGAACTTGTCACTGATCGGTAAAAAATCCGACTGGCGCAAGTATAAAAAATCGAAGAACTTGTCACTGATCGATAAAAATCCGACTGGCGCAAGTATAAAAAATCGAAGAACTCGTGATTGATCGGTACAATATTAACTTGGAATTATTTTTCCTATTCTTCATGATATCGGAATTAAAACGACCTCATCTTTCAACAATATTTTAATTCGGAATTATTTCCCTAAATTTTTAAGGAGATTGGAATGTTTCATTCACCATAGTGATCCGCGTATCGGCAATTACCCGATTCAAAATATCCAACTTTACCCCTTACAGAAAATTCTTATTGATAATTAACATCGGCGTTTGGGCGTACGCTTTGCTTAAGTGTAACAAAGTCTCTAACTTAGAGTATTTTCTATTTCATCGTTTTAATCGGAGTTTGGGCGATTGGCTTGCAAAAATTCAAGTTTTACCACAGGATGACTCATAATATCTCGGTTTGCCTCCGACATAAATCTAAGGCGTGGTTGCTTAAGCCCTTTTCGCCTTTTAGGCTCAGGGCTGGGAGGCAAGTGTACCGTCCCGGTCAGAATCTGACCTGTCTGATCTCGGCCTATTTCCGATACGATTCATAGGAGCGTTTGCTTAAGCCTTTTTCGCCTTTTAGGCTCAGGGCTTGTACCGTCCCGGTCAGAATCCGATCCAACCCATCTACATGGGTGCACTCGGTTAGAATCCGACCTGTCTGCTCTGCAGGAGTAACTCGGCCAAAATCCGATCTAACTCTCCCACATAGATACTGTTCCGATATCAGGGATAAAATCTCATCTTTAATGACAAGATATTCTCCAAATATTAACGGTTAAGGAAATCCCTTGATCCTCGGGGCCCAAGTAGCCCATGAACGGCGTACCATAAAACCCAAAACCCTAGAGATGAGA